AATTGTGTTCCATGGATTTCTCTCTACACCGTCGTTAAGGCATTCATTGACTGGACTAAAAGGCCTCCCCCAAGGTTTCCCACAATGAACGGTCTTGCGCTGCTTGCACTATTTAACCATTTTCTGCTCTAGTTTAAATATTATAAAAAATAATAATGGTAACATAACACTTTTGTAGGTCCTCTAAAAGAATTATTATTTTCTTACCACTAAGCTAAGTTCTTGATCCTAACAATGACAATATTTTTTCAAATAAACTATGACTACTTCGAAACTTCAATGTTCCCTCATGTTTACATTCCAGGTGAAACGCAACGACACTTTTACATTCCATTTGTGCAAAGAATGCTACATGAATATGAAGCTCTCTTGCAAGTTCAAGAAGCAATGCAGAACCTCGGACAAACGGTTCAAGAATTATTTACGCTTGAAAGAAATTAGCGATGTAGATTTGTGCACATTCCTTAAAAATAGTGATGATACTTTGAAGTAAGTATTAAAACAGAATTCTGGTAAATACAAGATTCTTTGCTTTAATATGTATTGCTACACTGTAATATACATTAATTGATCTAAGTAAAACATTTTATTTTATACCATTTCAGATTTCCCTTATTGAGTGGCAATAGTACTCCAGCAAATCAGAAAAACAACAAAGAAGATGACAATGGTTAGTAAACGTAAAAATTTGTAATTGGAGTTTAGTATCTTGAGATTTTTACCCAAGTGGGGCCACAATCAAGAGATACAGATTAATTAAATAAAACTGTTAAAAATCTTGAGATTTGTAATAGAAATAATAATGTAAAAGCAATTGATTATAACTTCTACACAATCATTATGCTTTTATCAAAATACTATAATAACTACTTTTTTGAAACACAAATTTTAAAGAGTCCATTTAAATGATATTATTTATCTTCTTAGTATAGACAAACTAGATTACAAAGACAAGAAAATCATGCTTGATCGTATGTTATTTCAGAGTCAACATGCACAAGCATTCAGAATTTCATGACTGATATTCTCAAGGGTACGGAGATGCCTGACACCGAGGCGAGGATCATAAAAGAGGTAATTGAGGAAGAAGCAGACGTGCTTGAAGACTCGTTGGATTCACATTGGCTGCAAGATGACGTCTCTATTGATACTGACTTCAGGCTGGATTTTAGGTAACATTAACAATCTAATATTAATTTTTTGCACACTTACCTCCTTAAAAAAAAATTGTTGTCAGTTAATTATGTACTTACTTTATTAAACAAGCTGTTCCATTCCAGTTTCAGTCCGTTCTCTACTACAAAATCTATAAACAATGACCATTGCTACACACCAAGAAAACAAAACGAATCTAGTCACAATATCAAAAATAATCATGTTAAAGATGTATTCAAACAATTACCAACATCGCAGGATAATTATGATGTGGACAGTGTAAAAGATATCAGTATTAATGGCATAAAAGAGGTATTAAAAGAAATCTGTGGCAAAACTCAGGTTGATTTAGAAGAAGATTTTATGCAGGATAATTTAATTGAAGAATGCATCGACGTTAATGAAGAAATTCCTATATTTGAGCCAGGCCTCAGCATGCCAGTACTAATCGATCCTAATGAAAATTATGATGAAATAAACAAAGAAGTAGATAATGTTGTGGATAATATTGAAATTCAAATTGACCCTGAAAATGATCCTGAGAATGATAAGAAACATTTGTATGTCTTGAATGACTTTTCAGTGGAATTAAGTGTAGAAAGCAATGGTGAAGACCTAAATATGCTTGAACTTACTGACAATAAAGACAACAAAAAAGAGAATACCGAATGCTCCATTGACAAGAAATTGAAACAAGCCTTGGAGAACAATAAGAAAAATATTTCTCTAGATGATCTACTGGTATCACCTGCTGGAGGTAATTAACTAATTATAATTACATTCAAAAATAGATTAAATTCTGTGATTGGTTCTAAAATTAAAGTCTAACCAATCATAGGCTTCAATCTACATATACTGGAGGTTAAGACATTTTGGTTTAAACTGTAATAAAAATAAAGTCAGTAACATTTTTGTAAATATTCCTTTATAGCAGGAGCAATGGAAACGAAAAGTGTTGATTTTGGTGTGGCAACACCAACTGTTGAACTATTCCCTGATGCAGCGGGGGCGTCAACGCCGATGATCAACAACATACTGTTTGGAGAAAAACTGGAGCTTGATGACAGTAACAGTGCACACAAAGTGGGACAATGTATAGAGAAGTTTGAAGACGTTGGAGGTGATATAGATATGCTGGAAGACTTTTTCCAAAAAGGCGTCAAAGAATTCGATGAAAGCCTTGCGAAAGTGATAAATTGTGTAGATATTACTGAAAATATTAAAACTGAGCAAGAAGAATACATCGGTGTGGACGTGGAAGACTTGAAATCAGTTAAGATTGAAGTCAATTCTGAATACGATCTTGAGAATTGTTTCTGCATAATATGTCATAAGAAATTCCAGAGTGAGAAAGCTCTCAAATGTCATTTGACTAGACTCCACAAGATTAGGTTTCCTAAGAAGAAATACGTTGATATTAGGCCCAAAGTATGCCCTCGGTGTGGCAAAGTATTTGACGATAGAGGCAATTTTTGGAGGCATGTTAGGGCTCATGATAAGGTATGAAATATGTCTTTATGTTACTTTTCAAATAATTTATTTAACCATACCCTAACTATACTAAAATAAAAACTAAATAGAGCATAGCGGCAAAAATCGCGTTTTGTCGTTAAAAATAATAATACGATAATCAGATAACTTTTGTATACTGTTTTAGAGAGAATATAAATGTGGAGTGTGCACACTGCTGTTTGCTTCAGAATGGGCTCTCAATCAGCACGCCAGAGTTCATAATACGTTGTTAAAAAAGGTGAAAAAGAAAAAGGACGATGTAAGTAAATTAACAATTCAATGATTTTTTTTAAATACTAGCAACGAAACATTCACATACAAAATCACAAGCCTTGATTGTTTAAGGTTTGTGGTAAGCTAGGATAGGATAAGCTTTTATCACGTCATTTTATCGTATTACGCGATAAACCCATACATTTGTCGTCTAAAATCATCGTAAAGATTTTTATCACGGCGCGCATCCTAGCCTGGCAAGAGCGACTACGTAAAAAAAATACATTAAATGTATGAGAAATTGTACAGCGCCCCTTTGAAGAATTAAAATCTTCATGGATTTTTTGACGCACTCGCTAGCGAGCACACCTAACGTAAACTCATAGTATCAGGCGTTACTTTGCGGACATCCATAATTAGATATTAAAAAGATGATTAAGGCTTCCACAGACCAAACGCGGGTCAGAAGCAGTGCGGGTCAGTTGCAGCGCGGCTGAGGCACACTGAAAGCAGCCACAGAATAATAATAAGTACTACGTACAGAAGTTTTTCTTCGCGAAGGTATTCAAAAAAATGTATGCTCAATGTCATCAACAATATGGTGTAATTTAGCTTGTCTTAAGAGTCGAGCACCGTTTTGTTGACATACGTCAGTGATCGGTACTGTCTTGATGCCATAGGGCTGACTGCTACAAGAAGCTACTGTGTCGCCATCTAGCGCACCACACTTGCATTCACTGCTCTTCGCGGCAACGCGCAGCTACATGCGGCCGCCAGTTATATAGTGTAAGAGCTAGCACCTAAATATTTTATAACACACATAACTGTGACAATTTATTTCACGTGGGCGAAGCCAAAAAGCTAGTAAGAAATAAAAATTCAATTCAGTAGGTATTTCAAACCAAATTTTATTACATAAACAAACATTATACTAATTTCATTATGGGCCCTTAGTATGTGAAAACTGCAATTGACGATATTTCGCACTGTTTTCAATATTATGTATTACAGAACGTATGTGTGATGGGATGATATTTTCGAAAACACGATTAGAAAATATTTTTCTCGAAAAAAAACATTTACCTCTGGATTTTTTTATAAAAGTTTAATATGACCGTGTTTTACAATAAAATTCCTATAAAATCACAAAGGTATCATGTTTGCCTCTTTGATTTCCTGGCTGTTTTAGATTTCAAAAACCTAAATATATTAATTTATTAACTTTCTGATAAAAATGTGAATGGCTCTTACGATGTCCCCCCCTTAAATCAAAATGTCTTTATTTGGTCTATATGCCCATCATCACTACGTAATAATTATAAAAAAAAGTCGCTTTCCTGTCTGTCTGTCCCTATGTATGCTTAGATCTTTAAAACTATGCAACAGATTTTGATACGGTATTTAGGGTTCCGTAGCCAAATGGCAAAAACGGAACCCTTATAGATTCGTCATATAGTCTGTCTGAACATAGAACGTTTTTGTGCACTTTTTAAAATGAGTTAACCAAGTATATGGCTATTAGACTTGCACACGTCCGTCCGTTTTTTGTAGGATTAATATAATTAAGTAACATTTATTTTTTGCATTCGGCTCTTGGTCTAACCCAAACGAAACACGAACAACTAATGAACTAACAATGAACAAAGTTGATAAATTAGTAATATGTAAATAATGAATTTGTTTTACGAGCTGTCCCGGCGTACCCGCAAATTAATATAAAGTTGTTTAAGTGATTTATAAAATCGCAATATTAATTTTTGAAAGTAGGGTCATTGTGCTGGTTTTCTATCTAACTTCGGTTTTCGTCCATTTCACTGAGCTGCCATAAACACATGCGTAAAATTTGAATACAAAGTATTGTATTCACAGAAGGCAGTAGCCATCCCGCGCTAGTTTTGTTGCAATCTATAATGCCTAAGCAACAGTTCTACCTAAATGAAAATGTAATTTAAAAAGTAGTGAGTTCCAAAAAATTACGTAAATGCGTGGCCATACACCGGTCACCGGTACATTGCAGAAATCATCGCGCTAGAAAAAAAACGTGCTGACAGGAAAAGTTTTTGGCACGTATGTCTAATTGATAGCATTATAAACACGATTTTAAGTGTTTATTAAACTTTTTCATACAAAATTAAATCTTAGATGACTAAGGGTCATTTTTTTAAAGCATAGCTCAGGTCATATAGCAGGCAAATCAACTCGGAAAGGGATCAACAACGTATCGCCTTTTGTGGCATGGAGGTAATAGTGGAGAGGAAATATAGATCTATAAAAAAATTCGACAAATTAATGACAAACAGCTGTTTATCTCTTTTTAACTTACNAAAAATCGCAATATTAATTTTTGAAAGTAGGGTCATTGTGCTGGTTTTCTATCTAACTTCGGTTTTCGTCCATTTCACTGAGCTGCCATAAACACATGCGTAAAATTTGAATACAAAGTATTGTATTCACAGAAGGCAGTAGCCATCCCGCGCTAGTTTTGTTGCAATCTATAATGCCTAAGCAACAGTTCTACCTAAATGAAAATTACGTAAATGCGCGGCCATACACCGGTCACCGGTACATTGCAGAAATCATCGCGCTAGAAAAAAAACGTGCTGACAGGAAAAGTTTTTGGCACGTATGTCTAATTGATAGCATTATAAACACAATTTTAAGTGTTTATTAAACTTCTTCATACAAAATTAAATCTTAGATGACTAAGGGTCATTTTTTTAAAGCAAAGCTCAGTTCATATAGCNTTTTTTAAAGCATAGCCCAGGTCATATAGCAGGCAAATCAACTCGGAAAGGGATCAACAACGTATCGCCTTTTGTGGCATGGAGGTAATAGTGGAGAGGAAATATAGATCTATACAAAAATTGAACAAATTAATGACAAACAGCTGTTTATCTCTTTCTAACTTACCCCTGGTGATGTATAAAAAAAGAAATAGATAATGTTTGGTCAGTACTCATTCTGGCAACATTTTCATGTGACGTCACTAACTACCTGACTTGTGCCGAGTAGGTACCTACATACAAGATTTAAGAAAAAAACATATTTATAGGCAATTAGCTGACAACTACACGCACACACACACACACACACACAAATACCTGTCAGCTGATTGCCTATATTGCGGCCATGTTGTTTTCTTAAATCGTGTATGTATTTATAATGCGTGTAAATGTGTGCGTAATGTACCGAGTACGTTTATTTTAAAGTTACGCCAAGTCCATGAGACATTGATATACGTCAGTGTTTTGCGAGCTGTCATTGCCCTTCGCGCACTGTCATCGGCGAGGCAAGGCGTTTACGTTACGGTGCGGATTGTGTGTGCGTTGCAGTATGGACTTTAGTTGACTGCCTTTATGAGTTTATGTAAGGGTATTTTAAGATCACAAAGTTGGCAACTCCGATAGTTGGACGAAAACCAGCGCAAAGACCCTATCCTGTTTGACACCTATAATAATTGACAATAGCTGGCTCGGCGAACTTCGGCAAACTAATGTGTGACGTGAAGTGCCAAATCGCGGAAAATGTCGGAAGAAATACATGAATTTGCATGAATTATCATGAATAACAATAACCACTTATTTACCTCTCAGTGTCTTCAGGCAACTTAAAAAAAGTACATTGTGTGTTTTTATTATTATTTAGGCAGTTAAATACTGCACAGTATTTTTTACACAGTATTTTTTTATTTTTTTCCATAATACAAGAGTACGCGTGCGTGTGTCAATGCTCGCTCGTATCTCGTATGTGACGCCTTGTCGAATCGCCTCCTGTAGGTGGGCTATCGTGCGTGTTTTGTTTTCGATGTGAACTCGCGGAGATGAACAGGCCTGAAGCAGCGCAGTTTCAAAGAAGTTGCAACGCGGGCGGCTGTCAAAAATTTAAATATTCGAAAACCGCTTTCAACGCGCTGCTACGGCTCTGCGTCCGGTGTGGCCGCTTCTGTCCCGCACCCGCGCCGCCTCGTTTGTCGTTCGGCAGTAGGGATGTTTCCTGGGTCAAAAAGCAAGAGTTTTGATTAGTCCGTCAGTTAACTTATCAAAAAATACTCTACACGTATTTTTCACTTTTTCAAACTAATGAAAATTTAAAGAGATAAAGCGCGCCAAAGTTCATAAGAAGAGGCCCGTGACGTCAATGAGTGCTTAAAAGTGCCGCACTTTGTGACGTCGCGCGGAACTTCAACGCACCATAACTATGTAATTGTTTGTTAGATTGACAAATAAAAATATATGTGTCCAATATTTTTTGATATTAAACATGACGGACTAAAAAAAATTTTTTAGGAAACTAGCCTAAAAATAGTTGCAGTGCGGCGCGGTTGGAGCGCGGGCCCGCATTCAAACTGCGCTGCTACTGCCCTGTGTTTGGTCTGTGGAGGCCTTTAATGGTAAGCACACTGACACTGCTGATGTTCTATTCCAGAAATACATGTGCCCGACCTGTGGCGCGAGATTCTCGCTGTCTTGCAACCTCGCAGCGCACATTCGACGTCACGCGCCTCCCACGTTGAAGTGCGACGGCTGCCCCAAGCTGTTCTATCGGCCGCAGGAGCTAAAGAGTCACCAGAGGTATGAAAGAAAGAAAGATACATTTATTACAATGGACATCACACAAATACAGGCAATGAGGGTTTTCGCGAATGAAAAATCCGCCAGATGGCAATACGTAGACGCGAGGTCCAAATGCTGCATGATTGGTTATTTTTGACATGACATTGACAGATATGTCAAAATCCACCAATCAGCAGTCAGACCCAATATCCACGTCCCGCCATCTAGCGGATTTTTCATTCGCGAAAACCCTCATTACAGACATGACAGTGGCACATAATAATGGAAGAAGAAAAAAATAAAAACAAGAGTAAACTGAGCAGTGCCACCCATTCACCAACAAGATGCCCACTGCAACGGGACCCCACTCAGCATATGCCGTAGCCCACGGTGACGAAGGCCACGGCGCTGGTTTTCAGTGTGCCCCACGCCGAGTGAGGGTCACGGACCATTGGCCTTAAAAAATAGCCAAAATTGTCACGTAATTAATGGACGCCTCCTAAGTGCTAAAGCCTGGTCCGTGAGCACGTAGAATTTTGTCCAATGACCCCAAGCTACCCATCCTTATCACTCGCGTGTAATTATATTGCTGTCGCGACTGTGCGACGGGCGCCCGCAGTGAGTGTGCGAGCGGCTCACCTCACGGACCAGGCTTTAGTGCTATCACTGCTAAAAAATATGGGAAAACGTCACTTTTGAAGTTAGCAAACGTGTCCACACCGAAAAAATTCTAGTTTTGACCAATCGGAAAATAGCGGTTGTTAGAAATTGTTAGCCATTTTTCCAACAATTTCTAACAAGCGCTATTTTCGGCCGAACTCAGCCATTGGCATGACCATGCAGCATTCATTTATGAGTCAAGCACCCATTGATGACTAAAGTAATATTCTTCCCGCAGGACGCATACAGGAGAGCGGCCATACACGTGTCCAGTGCCCGAGTGTGCCAGAAGCTTTAGTCACAAACACGTGCTTGTCGTCCATATGAGGAAACACACAGGTTAGAACTAAGAAAGCTTAAGTTATTGATGGTATATTCTATTAACCTTTTCAACGCCAATGACGGATACATGCGTACATCAGGTTAATCGACCAACGACCGATTAATCCGCCTTAAAAATGATGTCAGTAATAGGTCATGTATCGGATCATGTAATGTCAATAATTGAGTATTATGTAAACTGAATAATAATGAATACAATGATTATATTGATATCATAATTTATGAAGCATGGCGTCCAGAGTGATGGCTTTTGTATTTGACGTGGCGCTGAAAAGGTTAAGTGGATATTGCATTTGCGAACATTTCGATTCACTACAACTTTGAAACACTGAATATGTTCTTTAACCCTCTCTTTTTCCCATTCCAGCTGAAAAACATTTCCAATGCGACTACTGTTCGAAAGCATTCTGCAAAAAAACAACTCTGATAAAACACATAACACAAGCCGTTAGATGCAAAGCCAAGAGGGAAGGGCTACCCAAGAGGACGATGGCCAAGCAATACTCGTGCTTCTTCTGTTCTCGAATGTACGCGACGAAAGGACGCCTGATCAAGCATCAAGAGAATGCTGCGACCTGTATCAAGAAGAAGGAAGAAATGATGAATATGAACCGGTCTACCATCAAGGTGCAAATGCCGTTTCTGTATAAAGAAACGCCGATTGTTGCCGTAAGCAACGGAAAACTGCTAGCTAAATAGTGAAATATATTGTTTTGGAATGAAGTAGTTTTTTTTTATTACTGAGTATCGGCCTCTCTCTAGGCGAGTTAAGCATACCTAGTTAGAATTTCGAAATCGCTTCTCGGAGCGAAATAACAACACACAAAAACGCCGGAGTGAAACGATTTCGGAATTAGGACAGTCACGTTTTCTAACTTTAGGGGGCTGGTTTTCGCGCTGACACCAGCGATTCCTGCATTTTGTTGGAAGACGAGAACAATGGGCGTTTGGTAGAAAGCGGTTGGAAGCGCTTATAGCAAAATGACGATCGCTAAGCTGTAAGGGCTGTCACTGATAATAGAATGAATGAAACACGTTTCTAAACGTGTCCTCGCCGAAAAACTGCCGTAGCGGTCGCCATTTTGCTTTTAAGCGCTTACAAGTGATAAGCAGGTGATAACAACACCCATTTATACCTGACTGCGCCAAAATGATGGTTAGGTTTTTTCCTTTATAATGCCATAAATAAAACACAATATTTACTTCAACAACACCTGATTATATTTTTAGTTTGAGCTGAATAAAAAAATAAAAAACAAACTGCGATGTTGTACCAGCACTAGCAGCATACAGAAATAGAGATTAAAATAATCAAGTGATCACAATCTTAGCAGCTGTAAGTAAAATTACTAGATTGAGTTGCACCATCACCAGGTATTCTTATACTTAAAAGGATGGTTACCAAAATATTTTGTTAATTAACTTTATTTATAAAATGAAACATTTTCATTTCATATTCATCTTACTTTAACTTTGACAAAAGTAAAAAATCTGTCAAACTTCATACAAAAAACACCGGTAAACGTTATAGTTACGGTCAAAGTTTGGTGGTGCAACTCAGCCTAAGCGTAACTAATGAATTATGCTGTTATAATGGGAGTAATAAATGAATTTAAAACATGATTGCAATTTTGTTGTACCATTCAGTAGTCTTTAAAAATTGATTTTATTAGTGAGTAAAAAAAGATAGTATCGTAGGCAACTTTAGACAATAAAAAACCATCGCGAACAAAAAGGTTTGAAACGAAAAGTTCGTATAAAGATGCTGTCTCTTTTCATTCACAAAGAAGTAAAAGAGAGATTTATTCAGTTGAATAGTTAAGAGAACGGTACGAAAATTGCTTTATTATGCTTATTCCAAATCACTTGATTTTTAACAGCTTATAAAATTCAAATACATACCATATACTTCATTCAAACATAGCAGAGTATGGAACGATTTAAGAATATATTATTATTAGTCATCTTTGCTCTGATTTAAATTATAAGTGATTTGGAATAAGCATTTCAAATTAAGCCAATATAAACAGTAAAGTAACACCTATTGTTTTGACAATAGGTATACACAACTGTAAAAATGATTACATTTCATTGATATCTGAAGATCCTTTTCATTAAGCAAATAACAAAAATCTCGTTTTGAGTAAAATACATGAGAATATTAAAAAAAAACGGCCAATGTTTTGTGAACAGCACGCTATTTTACGTTGAAAAGGGATGTATAAATTTAAATACTTTTTGTTATACACTTGATCACGGAAACGAGTTCACTGCTATTTTAGTTTAAATGCAATCGAATTTGTTAATGAGACAAAACAACTAATAGTACCTACTTATAATTTAAATTACTCACGTCTGGTAAGTAACAACTATAACTATTATAAAATGTATAATTAGAACAACATCGTTACAACTTAGCAGAGTCTAAAGGTGAGTACAAACCAGAGCATTTCTAAAGCCTGGTCCGTGAGCACGTAGAATTTTGTCCAATAACCCCAAGCTACCCATCCTTATCGCTCGCGCGTAATTATATTATTTATATTGCTGTCGCGCTCGCACACTCACTGCGGGCGCCCGTCGCACAGTCGCACAACAAGCACAGTTGGACAAAATTCTACGTGCTCACGGACCAGGCTTTATGTAATGTAACGTAATTAACGTTCTTACGAATGGACACAGGTAAAAAATGTTTGGTTCGTGACAGGGTGATACACTAGACATTTCATAGAGCGGCTTGTTGTGTTATGTTACAAGTAAATGCTCCAGTCTAGACTCACCTTAATAAATAATTGGACCCATCAGCACAAGATGAATTTGTGATTACATTCTAATTAAAAATAAAGAATGTATGGAAGTTGCACAGTACACAAAAATATTTTATGTTTATTTGTCATTTTGAACTATGCTTCATTATCAGTGCGAATGGGTACCAATTTACAAGTAAATATTTTCAACACGGAATCTTAGATAACCTTCCTATATTGTCTATTGAAAATTTCATAACACTTGCTATAATCTTTGTATTGTTGGTACTTAGGAAGTTTATCACAAGTAATTATTTCTAGTACATAGACAATATTTGTTCAATCTACTAAATATTATTTTCTAATCTTACCGATTTAGAATATCAGCTTTCTTAAACATACTTTTTAAATATATGAAACGTTCGTATTCATATCTTAGCTTGAAAAAGGCAATCCCTAAATTCCTTATTCCAAATCTTTTTGATATTGAAACCAATTTCAATTTACGTAAATCGAAGACATAGGATAATGTTGCAACTTTCAAACATTACTATGATTTGAATAAAATCAAACAACTCATGCTACATACACTCGACAGCAAATAAATCGCACCACCCGCGACAAGCACTTTCAAACGTATGCATCCCCACTTCACACCAATATTGGTACCATTCAAAAGCCTAGTTCTAAACTTCATTTCATTATAGGAAAGGTTTTTACCCCAAAAATGTTTCTTTAGAAGGATCCAGAGTCACTTCTTCAAAAAATAGATAGTTACGCTTGAGCCAATTTTTATGGCTATAAAACTGTTAAGTTGGGATTAATCGCTATCCATCTGTTAAAGAGGACACGTGTGATCATTATTTGGTTTTATAACCATAAAATTTGGTCTAATTGATCCCAGAGGTGAGCCCAAAGTGAGGTCTTTTTTCAAGTCACATTTATGGTATATGCTAATCATTTATTAAGAAATTAAATGTGTTTTTCTTTAAGGATATTTATTGGGCTTTCAAATAACACCAATATTGTTGGGGCACCATTATTGTGTCAAAAGAAAATCTTTAAAGTTCGCGTCGCGGGTGGTTCGATTTATTTGCTGTCAAGTGTATTATGATTTCAAAACACCACATACAATCTTAGACCTTTTCTTTCATATATTTAGTGCCTTACAAGTTTTATCTTACTATCCTTTAATGTATGGGAAACAAATCATAAAACATGCATATTTACTCAAAACAATACTGAATGTGTTTTAAAAGAAAAATCCTTTTCCAATTAGATTGTACATTTTATACAAAACTAAAAACATTAATGATGTTGTAACAGCTAAAATAATAATGTTAAAACTATGCCAAAAAATAACAAAACGTTTTCAAACATTCATATTTAAATTGAACTGTTTTGTTTATATCAAACGAAAACATTTCAATGTACATCAACATTATTAACTATACAATCAATAACACCTTACAACTGCGTAAAAATACGCGCTCTGCCTGCTATTCTTCACGTAAATTGTATGGAAACTTCATAGCCTTTTTTCGTTCGACTACCCTTAAACGGGTTAATCGGTTCTGGCCATTTCTGGCAACACTGGCCGGTGATGCCAGATGAAATAACTGATGCTTTATGACGTCACTACACAGTCAAATCACACTTAGCTATATCAGCACCTTGGTTAAGTTCACGGTTCGGTTGACACCTGGCGGGTTACAGCTAGGACTTCTGGCCTTTGGCCCGCTGGCTGGCGACTATGCACGTGTCCGCTAGGTCGTTTCGCATAATGGCACTCTCTTTTCGTACGTCAACTAATTCCTGTTTTAGTCTTAACACTTCTAACATAAGCTTCTTGTTTTCTACTTCTAGTTTTTCTAGTCTGAAATAAAAAATGTTTTTGTTTTAATGTTTTTATAGTTTTGTTTGATTATAAAATATGTGGAAGTTTGGGTAGATCAAGTTTATTCTGTAACCTATTATTGGTAGTACCGTTTGGAAGAGCTCGTGAAGCACTTTCAGGAGCAGTAACCAGTTTTTCGATATCTTGTATAGTTTTTTTTTTTTTTTTTTTTTTTTTTTTTTTTTTTTTTTTTTTTTTTTTTTTTTTTTTTTTTTTTTTTTTTTTTTTTTTTTTTTAAAAGATTATTAGTAATTTGTTATTACACAAATTACTAATACTCCCGTTAGCCCCTCGTCCCGTTAGTCCAGTTAGTTAGATAGTTAGTTAGCCCGTTAGTCGTATTCGTATTCGTAGTTTAGAAACAATGGAGTGAGATCACTTATTGTCTCCACCCTGACCCTGTATAGTTGTGAAGTGACACAACGCTTGTTAAAACTCAATGCAATATCTATTTCTAGTTCAAGTTTAATAACAGACACCAACCACACAAAACTAAGTGGAATTTGAAAGAGACCTATATGTTAATTCTAACACGAAATAACTGCTATAGCCTGGTCTGGGAGCACGTAGAATTTTGTCCAATGATCCCAAGCTACCCATCCTTATCGCTCGCACGTAATTATGTTGCTGTCGCGCTCGCACACTCACTGCGGGCGATAAGGATGGGTAGCTTGGGGTCATTGGACAAAATTCTACGTGCTCCCGGACCAGGCTATAGTAAGTAACAGGATTAGTTGAAACATACCTCTTCTGTTTCCTTGTGAGGTCCGTGATGTGGTCGCATGCCTTGGACAGAATGCATCCTTTGCTGGAAGAATCTGCCATGGCATCGGGCACCAGGGCAGCCAGCTTGGTGATCCAGCTGTTTATCTTGTCCCGACGCCGCCTCTCCACCTCATTGTGGGTCGCGCGACGCTTCTCATCTCGCTGGGGAGTTACGAAGATAATTGATAAGAATGCCTATCGCGTAGATATAAAAACATATAAATAGAATGTGTACGGAGGAGTGAATATATTAAATCAGCAAATATCTTGTCAGTGGGTCCAGCCTCATCCCTCGTGACGTCACAGTGACGCGCGTTCGCCAACGCTTAATCACACTCGCCTAACTTTTGCTGAACATTAGGAATTGAAGCTCTCAGTTTTTTGATTACAAAATAGTGTAATAAACCAAACTTACTATGACATGTATACCTCTAAACCCAGTCTGAACTGAGTTACGAGCATTAGAAGTTTGATGATTTTCATACTAGATTTGCTTTTTGCGCGCAAAGTTTTCTAACAAATTGCAACAAAATAGTGAGATTGTATGTGTAAACAAACAATACCATCCATTAAAGGCTCCAGACATCAGTATGGAGCAGAATCAGCGCAATAAAAAAATAGCGCAATATTTTGTTGCAATTTCTTACAAAACTTGCGCACAAAAAGCAAATCTAGTATGAAAATCATCAAACTTCTAATGCTCGTAACTCAGTTCAGACTGAGTTTAGAGCTATACATGCCATAGTAAGTTTGGTTTATTACACTATTTTGTAATCAAAAAACAAAGATTGGTAGATGGCCGCGCGAAAAAAAAAGACGCCACTTTCCATACAAAATCTGGCATTGCCATTTGCGATAATCTTTCATTTATAAATGCTAAAGTTACTTACTCTCCCTGGCTGCTACCTTTTCACACTGGAACATCAAAATTAAAATGGATTTAATTTTGATGTTCAAGTGTGAAGCATCAGAAGACAACAGCTGCAAAGGCGCCCCCAAGGATTTCTACAACAACCAGTATTTTACCTGAACGTTGGTCCACCAAATGGGAGGCCTACCTACATTATGCTTTCAGGTCCATAGTCACCACTCAAGAATCTACTCCAATGTTCATCCGTTCTATGTGTGTAAAGCTGTTCAATAGAGTTAATAATTTAGTAATTACCCTTTTAGCCGTAATAGCTTTTTCAGGTACAGGTTCTCTTTTGACTTTCTTTTCAACTGGTGGTCCGAACACCTCCCCCGGACTGCTTATCACATAGTATTCTGTAATCAAAATATTATATGTATTGCATGGTGAACATAACAAAAACATAATGTAATACATAATTTTCCAAGTAATTGAGCAGTGAGACTACTTCTTAATAATTTAAGCACAATTTGGACAACATTTAATAAACATTCCGCCAGATGGCAATATGGCGTCCAAATGCTGCATGATTGGTTATTTTTGACATGACATTGACAGATATGTCAAAATCCACCAATCACGCAGCAGTCAGACCCCACATCCACATCCCGCCATCTAGCGGATCTTTCATTCGCGAAAAGCCTCATTGAGCAGCGTTCATATTAATTGTGAGCATTTTGTTATAATAAATATTTTTCAATTCTGAATACTATCTATCTACAACAGTCAACATTATCTCAGGTGTTTTCTATATTTGGTACGTACCAATTATCTCTGAGTTCCGATTTATTGTAAAAACTAAATAATCCAGTCCTTACCATGTGGTGGTGAATTTGTAGCCATGCTGTTTGTTGCATCATCCGACATCACAAGTTTGTATGTTACAGAACCTGCTGCAAACAAGACCAGGGTTAAATTATATATTTGACACAACTGAACCTGTATCAGTTCATCAGACATCTAATTTCCTAAATTGCTAGTTAATTAAATTAAATAACAAAGTAAGTACAATGTCACATAATACTTAAAAGGAGTAATTAACAGAGGGTCCTACAAAGGCTTTCAATAGCAAATATCAACCAATAACAACAAGCAAATAAAATAATAGACAAAGCTTTGATTAGACATAAACAATAACATATTTACACTTACCCTGCACATCCCTAAAGCTGTATGAGGTACTGTTATCATTTGTGTCCAAAAACGACTGCGTTACTAAATGGGATTTATCGTCGTCGCCTGTAAACATTTGTAATTAAATTTAACCTTAATTTAATAACAAAGCATGGGATAATTAGATCGATTGGACACATTCGTTCGAACAGTCCACCACATTGATGGTACATATTATTGTTTGGGTCACTGTTACTTACCAAGTGAGCCATCGTCCACTATTCCTAGGTACTCGTCGCTGTCAGCACTGGAAACATAATACATCACGTAAACATAAACACAAATAAATCTAATTTCACTGCAAGGACTCCTTTTCTCGCCAAGTTGCAAAATTAATAAGCGATGACCTTCCCTCTTCAATATTTAATTATGTAACGCACTTTGCATTTTAACACTATTACATTATTTTACCTGCTAACAAGAGAATTTTTATGTATGTCATCGACGTCTACTAATTCAACTTTGGCCATTGCGCGTAATTATTTTTGAATTTTCAGATTTTGATCACGGGCACAAATACAAGAGGTCATGTGATGAGGCTAAAAACAAGATAGAGTATGTGAGTGTTGCTAGAAAAGAAATTTTGATTTGTACTAATTCAATAGAATTTCGGAAGTTCCCATTGTTTGAATATCACCATTCTTTATTAACTCGCCCAAACCCTTTTGTTTATAACAAACAATAAAGTTATCGCCTTATTTGACACTTAATTATTGAAACTATTAAATAGTTTTAAAAATAAAATGCAATTTGTACATTAAATTTTATTTATTTTATTTGAGGGTCAACATCACGTTATGTATTACGTATTATTAGTTTTTATTTGTCTAGGTACTTAAATGAATACCTTGGAATAATATTTTTCTTAGTAAGAAATTCTTGCATTTTTGTCCACAATTTAGTAGTATTTAGTACACAATGAACGATATTTTTATAGTAGCAACTTTCAAAGAGTGACATAGACTAAAGATTTTGGCCAATGCGTTGCACTGACATGTGGAGCGAAAAAGAGATAAGTAGATACCATTTTCTACTAGAGTAAAAGAGTAAGAAGTAAATTTTTTGGCCTTTTCCATCTTAGATTTATAATAATCTAAGTTTTCCATCATGTTTTCAGTTTTTCGATTCGTTTTTGTTGATTCAACGAATTATTTTTAAATTATGTAAAAAGTTATTTTTTCATAAATTATTTTAGGATACTAAAATTTAAATTGTGTAATTTTTGTAAAGCGCCATCTATCATTTAGTGACCTAACTACTACCTACTAGACCACCGGTGGTTCGCCGTACTGATCATAGAGAAAAGTAATACTGATAGCTGAGTTAGTTTTTTTAGTTTCCAGAGATGGCGTTAACGCCTAAAACACAGTTGAGAGGTCTTGAGGTTATAGGCCTATTCAAACCTGAGCGATATTTGCTGCCGCTGTGGGTAGTGGTACATGGCAGACGGTAGCGTTACCGCTTAGGTCTGAACAGTATTATTACCGCATACCCACTGGGTTTTCTCTGCCGCAGACGGTAGCGAATACCGCTTAGGCTTAGATTAATAAGCCTAGATGGATAGTCTTCATACAAACGCTTCGTCAAGAGTGAGGCAAAAATCTTATGTCATTAGTGTCGATTTTGTTGGGGAGTGTAGACAGTGAAGGCGATTTTCCCTAAAGTGGGGAAATTTTTAATACGTTTTTAATTATTTTATAATTAACAAAAACAAAACGCATCATGTACTTACTTATTTATTGAATTCAAAGTACCTACCTAATTACAATAAGATAAATCGACCTTAAAGTCTTGATTTCATAAAAAAGGAATTTAGAATCATAAAATAAGGGACTATAAAGAGTTGTACCTATCCAGGCATTGAGCAACACTAGTAACACTAACTTTATGATCAAGGGATGTTGTTGTCGGGCCGAAAGGTGTGGTGGGCAGGCCTCCCACTAAGTGGACGGACGATCTGGTGAAAGTCGCAAGAAGCTTAGACAAGAAGTACCTACCTGGATACGGACTACAGAGGACTGGTCGTTGTGAAAATCCTTTGTCCAGCTATGCAGTATGCACGTTATTTAGCTGAAACGAATATTGTCTAATTCACCCCCATTTTAGCCTGTGCAGTAAGCCTCAAAAGCTGAAAACATTTTCAAAACAAACTTCCAGTAAATTTCAAATCTCTAGTCACCCGATTACTACTTAATAAAGTTAGTCTCGATGCTGTTTTGCCTTAAATATTGCTGCAGCAGTCTGAATTTCTAACTATAAGTAGGTACCTACGAACTGTGAAACAGAAAGTTTCCGTTGCAAAGTTTATCTGGTAGATAAGTTTACGCTGATCAGCGCCACTGACAGCTTTGCAGCCGGCTTGAGGCACATTGAGGCGATAAGACGCGGTGCCTCGCTCGAGGCGTATCGCTCCGGACGGATGCTTCTATTGAATTTTGCAAATGTTGGAATACTTAGTGTTCTATGTTGTATTTAGGTATTACCTACTGTTACAGTTGTATCAATATCATCTCCAGCCGTGCGATGCGTGCCGTGGTTTTTCATAATGCGCTTATTGAGTAAGTACCTACTTAAGTAGGAAGAAGTCCTACTAAGATTATTAATGCGAAAGTTTGTAAGAATGTCTGTTTGTTACTCTTTCACGCAAAAACTAGTGACCGGATTTTGATGACACTTTGCAGTATTGTTTAATTAAACATCGAAAGTTTTTCGTGCTAGAGGTACAGAATAAATGATCTGTGACTTTAATTTCATGCGAGCGAAACCGTGGGCAAAAGCTGTATCAAAATAAAACTTGCACGAGACTGTATATCGACTGTAACATGACTATTAATATAAAGCATTCTGTTCTAATTTCGCGATTTACGCTCGAGTAGATATCAATAGTTGTTTCCGAAAATGCTACGAAAAAGTTACGTTACGATTCCGTATTTATTGGTCATACAAAACACATTGGTAATTTTCCGATGACGGGGAGATGATGGAAAATAAATGGCAAGGAAAACGTTTCGTGGATTGACACGTAAGCGGAACGCTGAAGGAAATAAAGGTGCTGTAATAGAAATGTACTACCTACCTGTTCAGGGGCAAATTATTTGGTATCGACGTAACGTATTCCGACGTGACATGTTCCAGAACTGACTAATTTTATTATTTTAATCATTGTTTTGTTTTAGAGAGTGATAATAACTTAAGATATATGAAAAGAGAGTTTATGGGAAAAGAATGCTCATATTATCTTGGTATGGTCGGCCATGTGACTCAATGCTTATACTCAAAATACTTTTATCATTTCAGATAAGTAATGGTAGTTCACAGTTGAACGATAACGTTAATCTGCTTTCTTCACTCAGTCACTGTTAGCTTTATTGGAAGTTTGGGAGCCTACTTACTTAGATCACGGTATGCTCGATCAGCTCTGGTCATCTGGTAGATAATGCCAATCATTCCCAATAACATTAATAAGTTTTCCTTATGTACCAATGTTGTGGCATTCAAATATAAATAAAATGAAATAAAAAATAATAATCCAGTTAACTAGGTACTGATATTTCTTATGAAGCAGAGTTCGGCAGTGATAATCGCAGATTGAGTCTGTCTGTCTACACCAGAAACAGATGTTCCTTATTAAAAGTGCTCTAAGTCTTTATTACTTTATCACGAGCGCTCCAGTAGCCTTAATAGCGCCCTAAAGATGTTGACATCATCATTCAGCGAATATAACGGCGCCATTTTGTTTGCATTTCCATCTGTTGTTCACGCTTGGTGTCACTTTTAAAGGCACTGCGGTAGGAGATGAAGACTTCAAAGAGCTCAGGACAGGTTTAAGAACTTTTCATCTGATGTTATAATTATAATTTAATAATTGTTTAAGGTAGCCTAGATTTCGGTCATTTTTGTACATAAAGAGTAAAGGGAGATGACAATGAATACTTAGTTCATATGCGTATTTTTTTAAAGAACCATAAAAGCTAAGTATCTTATCTAAATAATACAGGACTGAAATATTTAAAAGGCTATAATAAGTTTTTGATTTTGATTTGCCTGGATGCGGACGGTCTGGTGGAAATCCATTGGGGAGGCCTTTGTCCAACAGTGAACGTCATTCGGCAGAAACGAACGAAGTTATTGATAGATTTTTTAGAGACAAGGAGCTTACATGGTTAGGCTTTAGCCTGGTTTTCATAGAATGGTCTAACAAGTCAAAAAACTCTCCAAACGTTCTTAATAATCGTTGCACACCGTTGATTTTTAGTTGGCCGATAGTTGTGCCTGATTTTAATTTGTATGAAGAATCGGCCAAATTGAATCGGCGTAGTGTGCGCACTCCCATACATGCCCATATTGATCAACTGCCCGACTAAACTATCGGCCGACGAAAAATCAACGGTGTGCGCCTACTCTTAAACGGATTAACAATCACTAGCAGAAAAAAACATTTTAGACATTGATGAGTAGTCAACGCGCATCATTTGTTTTCATTTAGGCAGTATTTGGTTTCGTTTAAAAATGTATCGCTGACAATGCAAAGCAACAACAGAGGTCATTAGTGAGAGAGAAGGTTACAGTGGGGATACAGATCGTAATCAATCATCGATAATGGCACTTTTCTCGCGCCTCGTCGCACGCGTGATACCACGTGCACAGCGAGAGCGGAGATATTTATGAAGATAAAGCCCGGTCTGTGAGCACGTAGAATTTTGTCCAATGACCCCAAGTTACCCATCCTTATCGCTCGCGCCTAATTATATTGCTGTCGCAACTGTGCGACGGGCGCACCCCTATCCGTCCCCCGGACACGGCCTGAGCCGAGGTCCGAGCCTACCGTGGCGCCCTCAGGCCGCGTTCGTAGTCCCCTCGATCGGGCCCACTAGAGTGAGCCCGCCGTAGGCTGGACTTTGGTCCAACACCGCGGTGGGCAACCCTCTAGTTGGGTTCGCCACTGATCGGGCGCCATATGCGCTCGATACGGCCCGATCGCGAACGTCTAGAGTACCTTCTGTACTCGCCACTCTGCCCGGTGAAGCTGGAAAAGCTCCTCAAGCTACAAGCGCGCGTCCGTTCAAAAAAAAAAAAAAAGACGGGCGCACGCAGTGAGTGTTCGAGCGCAACAGCAACATAATTACGCGCGAGCGATAAGGATGGGTAACTTGGGGTCATTGGACAAAATTCTACGTGCTCACAGACCAGACTATAGAAAGAAAGAAAGAAAAAAAGAAAGAAAATATTTATTGGTACATAAAATAAACTAGGGACCTAGGGACTAACGATCTGGTGAAGGTCGCGGGAGGTGCCTTGATGCGGACGGCGTAGGACCGGTCGTTATGGAAATCCTTGGGGGAGGCCTTTGTCCAGCAGTGGACGTCATTTGCCTGAAATAGAGAGAGAGACAACATATTAAGGAAAGAAGTTATAAGAAACTGCCTACAGTGATTTCCAAACTCGTTGTTCAACAGAAAATATCAGTTTGGGCTATAAGACGACGCAATGAAGGACTACTTAAATGAACATTTGGCTTCAGTATTAAACGTCTCACAAAATATAGTATAGCATTAGCTGGT